AATTTGTTTTCTTGTCCAATTGTGGAACCTTTCTGGTGTTGGAATCATTATCCAGTACGGATACGGTGTGCATGGGGTCGACCTATTAGGTTCACAAGGATCGGCCTATGAGGTATTTGGGTCAACCTTTCATTATGTTCGACCACCAAAGAGGTCGACCATTTTATATAGACGATCGACCGTGTCTTTGAACCTCACATAACTGAATTAGTCAATTCGGTCGACCTCCTTTAGGATTAGGTCGACCGAAAAGTCTATGTCACCGTAGCAAAGTCCTAATGTTGGATGTACATGGTTGGTATTATACATAGGTACCCGAAACCCACGAGTATGGAGATGGGTTTGCAAAACATTTCCCCCATGGGTATAGGACGTGTATGGGTTGGATATTTGAAAATGAAGATGAGAATGGTTTAGCCAAACCCGCTCCATTGTCATTCCTACTTGGAATCCAAGGGAGTTCACCACATATAATAATTATTAATTAATAGCAGTAGTCCAACAATATTTGTTTTTGGTTTTAGAATTGATGATTAAGTGTGTAGGAACTAGGATGATTAGTGACCAGAATCGACTTATGTTGTGCCCCTTCGTCCCTCCAGAAGGAACCAATGCTGCCTCCCTGACTGTCACGCATGGCAGGACCGAGCTAATGGAGGTTTCGGTTGACAGTCCCGACCCAAAGAAACAAAGATTGGAGGATACTCCCGACTCAGCAAGACAGATCAATGAAGATGTGGTGGTGGCAACCAGCCCTGACTGGTCCCACCCTCCCAAATGAGTATACTCTCCTGGAATTGTCGGGGATTAGGCTCCCCCCTGACAATTCCCTCTCTATTCGGAGCAATTTGCAGATTCTCTGCTTCCTGATCTGTCTGAGTGAAACTAAGCATGATGATGAATATGTGAATAAGAAATTGTGTCGACTAGGGTATGTAGTAGTTCGATGTGTGTCTCCTTTGGGGAGGGCCGGCGACCTTGTAATTGCCTGTTCCCCCAATGTCCAGTGTCGTGTGCTCGGTGAAGCTGATTTCTTCTTGTCTGTTGAGGTTCAGCATGTAGTTTGGGGTCTTCTTGTTGTTTTCTTCGTCCATTTAAGTTATGATGTAAATATTCGTGGGTTGCAGTTTAATGAACTTCTCAATTTAGTCTTGTCGTGTGATCTTCATGTCCTTGTTCTTGGGGACTTCAATTGCATCCTCTTTGCTTCGGAAAAACAGGGTGCCCGCCCCCCATCATTCACTATGTTGGAACAATTCCATTCTTTCATTCAATCGGCAGGTTTACTGGATTTGGGTTTCAAAGGACCACCTTTTACTTGGTCGAATCGACAAGGATTGTCCACTCATATCCTTGAACGCCTCGATCATGGTCTAGCATCTGATTTATTGCTCACTTCTTGGCCGAATGTGCAGGTCTCTCACCTTTCAGACCTTGGTTCTGATCACAGGATGATCCTCTTTCAGTTGGTTCCAGGCTTGGGCAAGGGTAAACCCAGATTCCAGTTTGACAAGCGTTGGTGCACCAACATGGAGGCCAAAGACATAGTCCTGCGCGAATGGCAAGCTTTGGTTGTAGGTACACCCCAGTTCCAGCTTTGGACACTCTTGAAGGAAACTCGTCACCAATTCGTTTCCTGGGTAAGCCAAGGCACTAGGAACTCAGCCAGGCAAATCAGAGAGTTTAGAGAAGTCATTGAGACTGAACGAGCTCAAGTACCAGTTGATTGGTAAATCATTCAAGGGTTGGAAGCTCAACTAGCGGCTGCTTACCAACAGGAAGAGGTTTACTAGAAACAGAAATCCCGGAATGGATGGCTGCAAGAAGGGGATGCTAACACATGCTACTTTCATCGTACAATGGCTCAACGACGGAGGAAAAACACCATTGAACTTCTCCGAGATGACTCGGGAATGATTCATGTTGAGGAAGCTTCTAAAGGTAATGTTTCCGTTGAATTTTTCCAACACTTCTTTAAGTCTAATGGCAATCCTTTCTTTTTCCTAGTGGCTGCCCTTGGTCTTCCCAAGAAAGTTACAATAGATCATAACTCCTTCCTCCCAGCCCTGGTTTCCAGAGAGGAGATTAAACAGGCTGCCTTTAGTATAGGACCAACACAACCTCCGGGGTCGGATGGCTCCACTGGTGCCTTCTTCCAGGCTTATTGGGACATCGTTGGCAAGTCGGTTTGTGTCGCTGCATCTTCCTTCTTCAGGTCAGGTAGGCTTCTGCATAACTTTAACCATACGTTACTCACCTTGATTCCTAATGTCCCCAATGCAGAATTGATGAAGCAGATGAGGCCGATAGGGCTTTGTCAAGTCTTCTACAAAATAATTTCGAAGGTGTTGACAACAAGGTTGAGTCAGGTTCTCCCCTCCGTGGTTAGTAAGTTGCAAAACGGATTTGTCAAGGGCCGAGATATCTCTGACAACATTCTCATTGCTCAAGAAGTTATGCATTTTTTAAAGACAAAGACACAAGGGAAGGACAAATGGATGGCATTGAAGCTGGATATGGAAAAAGCATATGATCGAGTGGAATGGGGGGTTCCTCTTTGCAATTATGGAAGCTTTGGGTTTTGACTCCAGCTGGATCAAGTTAGTTAAAGCTTGTGTAACAACTGTGACCTTCTCGATGATTCTCAATGGCAACACCCATGGATACTTCCGCCCGGAACGCGGCATTCGCCAAGGTGATCCACTTTCACCCCTTTTGTTTGCTCTTTACACCGAAGCTTTCTCTACGCTTATCTCTAATGCTACCTCATTAAATCAGCTTCATGGACTTAAAATTCATCACCTTGCTCCCTTGACTTCACATTTATTATTTGCTGATGATACATATCTGTACTTGCGAGCTTCCACCACTGAATGCGCACAACTTGGGCAACTTCTCTCCTTGTACGAGGCTGCCAGCGGTCAAAAGATTAACCTGCAGAAGTCCAAAGTCTGCTCGAGCTCCAATGTGTCAGCTCAGGAAGCTCTTGATTTGGCAGCCATCTTGGGAGTGGACTCAATAGGGGAGCTTTACAAATACTTAGGCCTACCTGCCCGTATTCAGAGATCTAAGGTAGAGACTTTCAGGTTTGTCGAAGAGGCTCTAACCCGTCGTATCCACAACTGGAAATCAAAGGCGCTTTCGTTAGCGGCTAAAGAGGTAGTCATTAAAGCAGTTGGGTCAGCAACACCAGTTTATGCAATGCTTTCGTTCAGACTCCCGTCCACATCTTGTCGTCGAATGAATGGTCAGCTCTCGAAGTTCTGGTGGGCTTGACAGGATAAGGAGAAAGGGATGCATTGGATATCCTGGCCTGCCCTATGTGTGAGTAAGTTTCGTGGTGGTCTTGGATTTCGAGACTTTGACCTATTCAATGTTGCAATGCTAGCTAAACAGGCGTGGAAGATCCTCCAATCGCCCAACCCTACTCTTGCTCGAGTGTACAAGGCTCGATACCACCCGCGTTGTGATTTCCTCTCGGCTTCGACGGGGACTCGTCCTTCATGGGCTTGGAAAGGCGTTGTATAGGGTCGTAGACTTCTGCAAAAAGGGCTAAGATGGCAGGTTGGATGTGGTACTGCAATTCGTATCGTCGGGGATCCTTGGTTGCCTACCTCCCCTCCTTCTTTCCCTACTCTACTTCCTGAAGTTACCCTTGCTAATCCATTTGTTGCTTCCCTTATTCATCCTATCACCCGCTCTTGGAATACTGATCTTATTCGCTCTTATTTTTCCAGTGATAGTGTCAAATGGATTCTGTCTATCCCACTTCCAGCATCTCCCCAGCCGGATAAATTTATTTGGCACTACTCTGACTCAGGAATTTATACTGTGAAGACAGGTTATCATATCCTCTCGGATGAACGCTCAGAGGTGTTTGATATGCTCCCCTCACACTTAGACACCAAGTTCTGGAAGTCTCTCTGGAGTTTGCCTATCCCCCCTAAACTGAAGTTCTTCCTTTGGAGGGTTGTGATGGGCTTTTTGTCGTGCCTGGAAATTCTGCAGAATAAGTCCTTGAGTCCATCTAGCTTATGCCCTGTGTACTCGGCTGATAATGAATCCATTTCGCATTGTTTATTTGATTGCAGAGTGGCTCGGGAAGTTTGGAGATTAGCTGGGAAAGACCACATTCGGGTGGTAATTGCGAACATATCTACTGATTTGGCTTGGGCACACCTTTTCTTTGGTTTGCAGATGCACAAGGTGGAGCTAGCTGAATTAGTTTTCCTCACATGGCGAATTTGGAAGGGTCGATGTTGGGCATGCTATGATCGTATCCAGTATCTACCAAGACCGCTTCACAGACAATTCACTCAACAAAGAGACGAATGGGTTGCGGCCACATCGGTAGTCAACCGTGCACCCCATCGTGCTGGTCGATCTCCACAGCAGCTCCCCTCTCCGACTTGCCCTCCCGACGGGCTGCTAGTAAGGTTTGATGGCTCTACTAGGCGAGATGAAGGGGGGAGTATTGGCTTTGTTGGTTTCTCGCCTTCAGACTCACTAGTCTGTGCCTACGACAAGTATTATGAAGGTATATCGGATGTGTTTCTGATGAAATTATTGGCTTTACGTGATGCAATGGATTGGTGTTTAACTCGTGGTGTGTATTCTGTCTGTTTTTGTGGTGATTCGCAATTGGTGATTCGACGAGCTATGGAGAATGAAGTTCAACAAGACCGAGGCGGAGCGATCCTTGAGGAAGTTCTACGAATGAAGTCCTCCTTCTCAATGATTCGTTTTGTTTTTTTCTCCTCATAGAACTAACAGGGCTGCTAATTGCGTGACGAAAAAAGCTCTTGCATCGGTGGATCGGCATTTGGCTGATTACCGCTTTTTTTTCAAACTGATTGTAATTCCCTATCTATTAACTACCTATCTCAGGAAAAAAAAAAAAACAAACGTTTGAACGAGTAAACGGACCTGGGGCATCGACGGCGGCGGTGAGTTCTTGGTCGAGCGTTCCGAGTCAAAATTGTTTTGAAGGTGGGGAGAAGATGCTGCGTTTATACGGTCGGCCGGGGAAACTCTGGGTAGTTTGCTTCCAATCAGCTGGCCGCTACATGGTTTCTTTCGTCCTCGTCATAATCACTCAGTTCGCACTCGCTCTGGTCCCTCGTTTGCTCCCGGCATCCTCCCTTTTCCTCCAGCTATTGCTCTCAGGTACTCCAAACCTCATTCTCCGTCTGCAAATTTCTCCTCCTCCGAGGGCTATTTGACTCCAGGGTTCTGAATGAATCTTTTGGGGGTTCCTCAGTCGTAGTTCTGCTGTTGGTTGTCGGTTTCGGGAGATGTTGTAGGCGGCTTCTCCGCGTCTCCGCGTCGGCTCCTGCTCTAGTTCTCTTCAATACGCTCTTCGTTTGGGGAGTTTACTTTGTTGATGTTCGACCTGGTGATTGTTCGTTTCATTTGGCCTGTGATTCAACAAAATGATTTCCTTCGAATTTCTAGCTGAAATTGAGCGGACTACGTTTTTTTTTTCTTCTTTCTTTTCTTTGCCGCAGCTGTTCCACGTCTTGTTGATGTTACTTTCAACGGAGAGATTGCTCTGCTTTTCATTGGTTTATTTAGGTTGTCAATCCTGACTCTTCCCACTTTGATTGGTAATGGTACCCTTTCAGTACTAGTTTGATATGAAATGACTGGAGTGCTTTTCATCTTGGTGGGCAGAATTCTGTCAAGCGATCCTGGTTTCATGAGTAATGGGGTTCCTGGGACAGCTGCTGAGCTTGTCGAAACTGGAGCTCTTGCGACTGAAGTTCATGATGAGGTAGTAATTGAAGGAGTTAGCCTTTTGAAATGAACTCACATTAGTAATTAGTAACGACCCAGTTTAGCAAGATGTTGGAAGTGAAAGGGTTCATGATTTGCCGAGAACAGTTCTTAGTTCTCTATTTTTCAGGTTTACATCATGCTCTTCACCTGTCCAGCATGCTAATGCTATCCAGAATTCAATATGGAATCTATTTTCATTTGCTTGATTTCAGTCTGGTCATGCTTGTGCACTTTCTTGTTTTAGGTTTAACAACTCAATAGAGATCTCCTGCCTCTGCGTAATTGCATTTAGACAAAGCATAAGTCTTTTGGTGCATGAAGAGCTGTATGGATATTCTTATGTTGCCTCTCATCATCTTTTATTATTCTCTCTTTGATCTAGTTATTTTGTCTGATCTATGCTCATTCGGAAGTCCTTTTGCTGTATTCTGTTCCAGAGTGATGTACTGCCTCTACGGGTAAGATACTGTAAAAGCTGCAAGTCATATGTTAAGGGTTTCGACCACCATTGTCCTGCCTTTGGGAACTGTATTGGTAATTGTTCTATCCTATATATCTTCTAATTGTGGCTTCATATGAATTGGAGATTCCTGGGAGAGGTTTCCTTTATATCATTTGCTCATTTTGGTTTGAGCATTTTCTTTTATTCCCCCCTAATAGTAGCTGCATTAAGCAGGATACAAGAATCATGCCCTCTTCATGGTTCTTCTTGCTGGATTTCTTGCTACTGAAGGTTCATATGTAGTATTCTCCTTTCATGGTAAGCATTTGAATTTTTCTCCCAAATCTCGGGCGACTGTTAGCTTAATTATGGCGAACTCGAGTGACCAGATGTAGGCAGAACTTGTTGCAGAGTTAAAGAGATAGAAACTTATAAATGTATAGTGAAGGTATTCCATAGTCCTGACATTGTAGTGATCTCCACTAGTGAACATCTAAAACTTGGTTCAAATGCTTTTGTATCTAGTTCTTTGATTCTTTCAACGTTGGAGTGATGGAGTCCTTAGTCTGGTCTTGTGTTTCTGTCTTTTCAGTTGCTAAAGGGTACTGGGTGTTACGCCAGTACAAGTTCCAGGTAGATCTCTATGTTCAAGCAACACATATTATGCTACTATTCTAACTTCTTTCAAACATCGGCTGCTAGTATCCAGAGCTTCTGACTCCAGATACTGTCACCTTGTTACTGTAGAGTGATCTAGCGAGAAGTTTGGTTGTGAGTACAATGCTCTTCTCTCTTCTGCAAGTGCTATGGCAGGTCATTTGCCATTCTTTTCTACTGGGATATTGGTACTGCTTTGCTGCTGTGACTTTATGCAGTAATTAAAGTTTTATGATTGCAGGTGTTCTTTCTGACGTGGCACATATACTGCATTTTTTTCAACATTAGGACTGATGAATGGGTGAGTCCCCTTCATTGGATAGAAGAAACAGAGAACCACTAGTAATTTTCATGCATCTTCATATGGTGTATTTGTACTGTATGTTGGTGAGAGTTAAATGAGAGTTGGGTTGAGAAATGGTCCTTAGGCGGGAAATATATCCAGATCAAGTTTCTTGTCGTTTAAAATTAGTCAAAGAAGCAATCATGTGTTCAATTGTGCAAGCCTGTTTAATGGAGATTTTTATGGTATATATCTGAGGTTTTCTGGTCTTGTCTGTAATTGTCAGATAAACTGGAAGAAGTACCCAGAATTCTATTTCACAACTCAGCCCGAACCAGGTACTAAACTTTGATAAATTCCTGTCGTTCCTGTGCTTCTGTGGCTACTGAAGATAATTTTCATATCCATGTGTGATCAGGGGAAAGCACAACGGTTATGCGGTTCAAGAATCCGTACAATAAAGGCATTGTTCCAAATCTGAGAGAGTTCTTAGGGATGAAAACTTGACAAGATGCCCAAGATTTCTCCACTCCTGCCATTTCTCCAACAGCACAGTGAATATGTTATTATGTGCAATTGGTAGATGACATCATTGACAGTTTTCAGCTAACTAGTACGTAGAAGGGTCCAGGCGTCCAGCTAAGTAATCTGTTAGCAGCTTGGTTTCTCTTTATACAAAGTGCTTAATCTCCAGAAGGGGCATGGACAGATTCATGCTCGTGGCTTTCAGCAATCTTCTAATGTGCGTTACATCTCCACGTTTCTTTCCTCCTTATTCCTTTTAGCATTCTGCATTTGTTCGTGGTTTGGTCGAAGTCCAGAAAATCCAGGTGAGCTCATAACTCAATTTTTTGATGCGAGTGTAAGCAATAGTAAATGATAGAAAAATCATGCTAAGGCTAAATCAAACTAATATGCGAGAATTAGTGTTTAGTATAAACTTTTATTAACCAGAACCCAAGAGGGTTCCATTGATCACACTTGCAGAAATCACAAACACAACACCATCACACACTGACACACACACACACACACACAAACGAGAAACCCGAAACTTAATTATTCTGTGATTGTAGCATTTCTTGCAGATTGCAGCAACTTGATCCTTCAGCTTTCAGACGGCTTGGGCATGCACTTCAGGCAGAGATATCAATGGACTTGACCTCCGGCTTCTTCTCCTCCTGTTTGGGAACAGTCACAGTGAGCACGCCATTCTCCAAGCTAGCCTTCACCTGATCCAACTTGGCATTCTCAGGCAGCCTGAACCTCCTCATGAACTTGCCACTGCTCCTCTCGACGCGGTGCCACTTGTCGTTCTTCTCTTCCTGCTCTTTGCTCCTCTCCCCGCTGATCTGCAGGATCCTACCATCTTCAACTTCCACTTTCACCTCTTCCTTCTTCACACCGGGAAGATCGGCGTTGAAGATGTGAGCCTCGGGGGTCTCTTTCCAGTCGATCCTGGCATTGGCAAATGCAGAGGTTTCACGGGGCAGATTCGCCACCGTGGAGCTGATGAGCCCATCGAAGGGATCCCATAGGTCCAGGGAGAATGGATCGAAAACGTTGGTCAGTCGGCTGCCTCGAAGGCTGGGAATGATCGACATAGTTGGAGACTCTAAGAAAACTGTTGTAAGTGACGAGAGTAAGTTTTTTTGCTGAACTCAGAGAAGGTTTGTCTGATCATATAATCTTGGGATCGGGGGTCTATATATATCATTAGATAAGAGAACTCTAGCACCTTACAGGCTAGCAAAAGTGTTGCCTTTATTTTTACATCTAGAGCCTTCTCGTGAAGTCGACCCACAAACTGTAGGACTTCTCTGTCTTTGGTCTACACAGTGGTCGTAATTTCTTTTCCAGACAGTTCCATTCGCCTCTTCCAAGAGCTTCTACCATCTTCATTCACCCACCCATTTGGGTGCTGAATGTCTTTGATATGAACATGCTGTGTTTCTCTTCAGTAAGTATTTTGCTCAGGAAAATCAAATTAAGTTCTGCAGTTCTGATTCTATTTTCACTCCCAGTAACTGGGCTATATCATGAGAGGGTGATATGTTCTGATTCTATTTTCACTCCAACGGTTTCGTAGTAAACGACCTTGGTAATTTTCTATTGTTTTTAACAAAATACATTTCTATATCTAAAGTTTTAAACCTTGTGACAAATTTATAACCCGTGGTTCAAGTTCATATGTTGTACCCTCGAGACTAACAAAGTGATGAGAAGACAAATAAGTGGTTGAATAACAAATCAGAACGAAAGAGTCTTACTATTGAAAGAAAGTTAGAGTCTTAACAAATAATATATTTTCAAAATTTGTTATATACTTTACACATAAATTTACCAACACGTGAGAGTTGAGGTGCTATCGTGAACTCAACATGGTTTTGCCACCGAGGCAGACTCTGCTTTATGATATAGACAAGTTATTTGTCTCGAATAGCAGTGAAATTCATCAAAATTGTTGATGAAAAAGGACGCATTTCTTCGACTTGCGCGTAGATTCACTCTTTCGGTTACACCAAATCAAATGAATATGAAAAAATAAAATAAAAATAACCAAGGATCGGAATACCGTATAGAAGGTAACGGAAAAGAAAGCACTAGGGTATTTATCTGGTCGAACCGTCGGTACGATACGATTTTTTAATCCTTGAAAATAACTGGTTAATATGAGATATGTGAATGGCCTTGTGGCCATGACTATGTGGTCTGGTACAGTAGATTAGCTGAATAGTGTGAGTGATGGGGTTGTTAATAATGCCTATGAGATGAGCCCATCCATTTCTGGCTTCTGGGTAGCGCACTTTCCATCATTCATAATCAACATCGTTCTCTCATATTCCAGTCATCGTTCTCTCATGATCCTGCCTGGATAAAACAGTACACAAATAGACAAACAAACTAACGCAAAACGATTCCTCTGCCTAATTTCGCTACAAACAAGTACGCACAGACACGTGGCCAGTGCAACATTATTGAATGTGTCAAGATCCTATTAAGGCTATAAGCCTATAACAATCAGGAAAGAAGATGCTTTAAAGATCCGCTCCTGCTCTCTCGCTATCCAGCAGCCAGCAGTCAAAACTCTTCCACAGCACCAACAATCCACCCTAGGGAGAGAAGTAGGATCCTTCCTGTTAGCAGAACATAAAACGATCAGATCACAGCTCTGCTTGGCGCATCTCAGCAACTTGGAACCAAGGGAGAGAAGTAGGATCAAACCTTGTGACAAGACTCAAAATTGATGAATCAGAATGTTGTCTGTCAATTTAAAAATGCAACACCAGCTCGCTTGAGAGTAAACAAAAAGCAATAAGAGTTCTCGTCTTGTTGATCACCAAAGTGACATGCACACGCTGATTGCAAACTATACTAGCAGGGACACCACTCACACCTGGGAACTTCAGACCAGCCAGTTCCTATAGTGTGACCAGACCCGTAAAGCCTAGGCACTTGTAGACTTCCAGGCCAAACCACATCATCCTATCCTTCGGAGCTCCCAGTTCAAAGGGATCTTCTGGAGTACGATCAGTCAACTTCACCCGTACTTTATGCACGATGAATAGGATACGAACCAGCCATTTCTTTCGGCCAACCTAGTTTGAATAAGCCAAACCATTAGTAGCTTCCACTAACAAGCGCAAGAAAGAACACAAAATTGAGCCCCACAATCATGCCAAAAGTTAAAAGCAGATTCCCTGACCTGGCTCCAAAAATGTGCCTCCAATGAATCGTCATTACCTCTGAAACAGATTTCTCTGACAGCATCACTGCCAGTTTAAAGAATGGTCTATCTGCCAAATGCAACAGGCAGCTCATACCTGTAACGATAACCTTCACCACCGTCTTCTCTTTTTCTTGTTCTTCTTCTTCTTTTTTTTTTTTTTTTTTTTTTTTTTTTTGGGTGGAAAGATCGCCATCCTCCTCTCAGTAGTGAATCACCGACAACAGTTCCACCATAGAGTTATATCCATGTTACTCAACTCTCAAATGCTCAACATATGGGATTGAGTATTTCAGCTGGAAAAGATGCATTTCAATAAGAAACAAACATTCATTTCCCATTTCCAGTCTGGCAAGCTGAAACAACAACAGAACAAAGGTTGATTGTTCATTTCACAACTCCACACCAATCCTTCCATGAAATTGTATTGAGTTGAAGAAAACCTATTACCATTAGCCACTTAATTATCACTAACCTGATAAACCACCCTTTCCCTACCATAACACAGAAAATATGGATGCTGAAATAAGGGTAAGAGAAGAGTAAATATCTGAGTATCGCTGGCCCCATTCAGCTGAGATGCCAACCACTTGGTTTGTAAAGCAGAATAATTGTACCTGCTTAAAAATGATTAAAACCCCAGAAAATCTCTCGGCACAAGCATAGATAGCAAGGTAAGATGCAGATTTTAACCAACCAGAAGGAATATTCCAAGGTTTCAGTCGCTGCAGCACCCAAATAGCAGCAAGATGAATCAAAGAACATATACTTTCCTCAGCCTTGCCCTTCCAGTAGCACATTCTGTCATTCTGATGCTCTCCTCTGCACAGAAAGAAAAAACCAAATGAGATGGACAGATATAAAACAGTGGGATGGATATCAGCTTTTTATTATAAGAAACATAATGAAACACAGTGAGCAAATGAAAACTTGGGAATTGCACACTTAGAACCCCTGCAAAATTGAAATTTACTTCAAAAACAAAACAAAAAAAAACATGCACAAAACCAAGTTAGACAAAGAAATTAAACAATAATACATACGAAATGAAGCAAGTTAGCCTTTCAAGCCCTGCATAAATCAGTGGAAATATCACAAGGAAAAATCCAAACTTCTACCAGATCATTATGATACTGGCCTTTCATTTGAAGAACCTGACATAGCCTGTATCATATGAAACCAAAAGCCAGACTACACACTAAGTCAATTGAATCTGAAGTTAATAGACACATATTAAGAGATGCCTCCATCAAGTGTTACATATATGTGATAATCCACTAAAGAAGCTAGAAACAGCCACACACACAGAAAAACACTCTATGTAACTATGAAAAGCAATTACAAAGCCGGGAAAAGACACCATAATAGGTTCACGCCAACCAAAACGGATCCATCAATCACTACAGTTAGGCTCAAACATAAGACTCATGAAACTAAACTCAGCTTTATTCATAATGAATCCTCCATAAGATAACCTACGCTTAAGAAGTGCTAAATTGCATTAAACATAATCTGAAATAGAGTTCCTACAGCAAGGAGGACACATCAAGTCCACCATTGAAGTCCCCGCATTAAGCTTAGTAATCGATACTCAGTCCACAGGATAAAGTAAGAAAGTAAAGGGGGGAAGAGAAAAAGAAAAAGGCAATAGAAGTAAAGAGACATAATAAGCGTAAGGAGCAAAGAGTCACTTCAGTTATTTGACAGATAACATCTAGCTCAAATCCATGCCATCTCCGACTTGACTGCAGATTGGACTGGGGACAGCAGCAGCAAAAGCTCTCTTGAAGGGTGAAGGATGGAAAGCCTCCCTCCTGCGCTTAAAAGCACAGGTATCTGGAGGAGAGGTCTCAGCATCGATCTTCCTCCGGACTCCTCTGACGGCCTGCTCCTCAGAAGGCGAGAGAGGGAACATCTTGCCACTTGCCCGGCAGAGAGAGGTATGGTTATCGTACAAGATCCTCTGGTTACAATTCTTGTCACAGATGTGAGTGAGAGCAGTTAGCTTGCAGAGGTACATGTTACCACAGACGTGCTCATTCCGACACTTCCAATCACATTTGTGAACAGGAACCGACCCATCACGCCCCAGAATGGTGGACAGGTAAATGACATTGCCGGGTACCGTAACCATGGGTTTGCCACAAACTTCCATTGCTGCTTTCAGCTTTCACTTCAAAAGCTCTCGACTTTCACACGTCCTTCAACGCAGTTCTGCAGAAGGCGAGAAATTGGTCAAATGGGTTGCCTTCTGTAACTCCCAAATCCGGTTGCCAGAGAATAATTTCTCAAAAGGTTGTTGTTCAGGACAAAGGCGGAGGGAGCAACCCCAGCTTCAGATGGGGAAATGGGTGATTTGGGATGTGGGGAATTGGTTGTTGGGTAGGCAGAAAATACAGGAATGATCATCAGGGTCAGGTGCAGATCCAGTGTATATGAAACCGATTCTTGAGAGCTCATACTGACTTAAAAGAAATTAAAAATAACAATACTAGTATCAAATCTAATAAAACATTATCTAAACAGGATAAAGCTGAAAGGATTCTTTAAATTCACGGTACACTTATTAGATCAGAACAAAAAGGGAAAAGGGAAGAGGAAGGGGGATAACATAAACAATCACTCACTCGGATCTGAGTTGCGATTGATAGAAACAAAACAAACAACCAGAAAGGAAAAGAAGAGAGAGAAATGAAAATCTCACTTGATCTGGAGAGGAAGGAAGCAAATGGACGGCCGACCTGCAAAGAAGAAAAAAGTCTCTCTCTGTATCTCTCTACCTGGATACCTTGTCTGTGTGTCGCCAACAACAACAATAATTGACCTAACCAAAATTGAAAGGAGACAATTGAAGACGAACAGCTCCAAAAGAAAATTACAAATGGAAACCAGAAACCGAAGAAGAAGGAATTGAGAAAGAAGGCAGAGGAAAGGAAAGGAAGAGAGCAAGAGCCAAATGGGAGAGGGGTTGTGGGATATTTATAGAGGGGCGAATCCCCATGGGGCGGAGTTGACTATGGAACAATTGGATGTTAGCTTCTCTCTCACTCTCCCTTCCCCCACTTCCATTCTCCTTTCAAAACGGGGAAAAAGCTCCAAAAAAAAAAAAGTGGACGGAACCATATTATAGTTAAATAAAAATTTGAAATTAGTTACGGATCAAGAGTCAGATGGGACAAAGCATGGTTGCTAGTTGGGTTCGACCATCTGGTTGAACCTAGTTCGATTGGAAAATATGATCTAGCTAACAACCTTTGCTCTTGAATTTTGTTTTCCGGAGTAAGGAAGTGATTAAATATTATATATGGGCTTCTCTTGACAATTCGAGTTATTGATACAAGTTGGTTTATGACACCGTGATACATCGACTACTTTTATTTTGAGGTTCATCATGTGAATAGACACCATTGTTCCAATTCAACGCACATCTCCAAAGGCATCATTCGACAATGCTTGAATTAGAACCTGGCAATATAATAGGACAACACATTCTAATACATATTCTCGAGCTAAGTTTAGACCTTCCAACAAAGCATTTGCTTCAACTTCAAGGGGTAGAACTAGGGGTGGCAATGGGTTAGATTGGGTCGGTTTTGTCAAATCCAAATTCATGGGTTTATTCGGAAAAAATTATGGGGTAAAATTAACTGGGTTTGGAAAACTCAAACCCAACCCGCTGGGTATCCGCGGGTTCATGGGTACCCATGGGTTTTTGTCGTAAAAAATTTACAATAACAAGTTTCTATAAAAATAAAAGTCAATATCAATCTCTCAATACAAATTATCCATATATAAAACACCATTATAGAAAATTCAAGCAAATCACAAATTAACCATACAAATTGTTCACCAATCTACATTACTCAAGAAAATTGAAGCAAATCACAAATTATTCATAAACAACATGATTAATTGAAAGCTTCTTCCTCCTTGTCAATTAAGCTTCTTGACTCTCCACTCGATAATATCAACTTCATTTTAAGAAAGAAAAAACTAGACATGTCTCCACAAACATAAAGAAGATTAGTTGCTTAGAATATTAAATATACCAGAAAATTTAATTATATGAGTGTGGGCGGGTATCCATGGGGCGGGTATCCCTAAACCCAAGCCCAACCCGATGAATAGTAAACGGGTTTAAACCCAAATCCAACCCAAAACATGTCAACATGGGTATTACCCGCGTTGACCGGGTTAGGTCGGGTAGGGTACTCGTGGGTTCGGGTTTTGTTGCCATCCCTAGGTAGAACAAAATATTGCATCAGCTTGCTTGTTGCATACTTGTCATGGTTTTTAATGGACACAACGCTCGCCATAGGCCACTGTTGCTACTAAACTAACGCGTTCCCATATGGGTAGGGGTGGTTATACGCTCCAGTCCGGTTAAATTGGACTGAATTTATCCGGTCCCAGTCCGGTTTTTCGCGAATATAAGGACCAAAGATTAGATTGGATACAGTTCGGTCTTGATCCGGTCCGGTCTTGACCCGGTCCGGTCGGTCTTGATTTTAGATTGAGCTTGTGGGGATTTGAGTGGCCTGAGGAATCAAAGGTTGAGGAGTTGGTTAAGTATTGGGTGTTGTGCTCTCTTATCCGGTCTTTATCCGGTTTTCGATCCGGTCCCAAACCGTTTTTTACCTCAAATCTAAGCTCGAAGATTGGATTAAATTGTTTGCTATCCGGTTCTGGTCCGGTCTCGATCCGAGTTATACAGTTCGGTTTCGGATAAAACCAAATAGCCAGCCCTACATATGAGAGTGTTCTTAGAAATCTATGGCTTTCACGCGAACCAAAAAAAAGTGAGAGGACTACTTTCTCCTGAACTGATCGACTAATAATTTGTTGTGCACAATACAAAACAATGCCATGATCGTTTTAAAAAGGATTAATAGCATTTTGTATTCCTTTACTATGGTAAATTAACAAACGTATCCCTCTACTAGATTTTTTCACAAACATCCCATTTTAATATTAAAACGTAACGAGCTTACCTTTCCATCCAATTTTCTGGTAAGTGGCCGTTAAATGGACTGTGGAATGACCCAATTGCCCCTCGCTTATTCCCAAACACTTCTAATTTCAATTTTAATTATTTTATATCTCAAATTAATTAATTAAAAAAATAAAACCCCTAAACTAATTCACAACCAGAAACCGTCCATCTCCCTGAATCCTCTCCTGGTGAGTAGTCCATCGGTAGCGGCGCTTGCTCCCGACACTCCTCGTCGGCGGCCGGAGTAAAGCGCACACATCGTAGACATCCATCTCGTCTCCCCTCTTCATAAAATCCCCCATTGCAAGAATTCTACCCTTCTTCTTCTGCAATCTCTCTCTTCTTTCTCTCACTAATAATTTTCATTCCCTTCCCATAAATTTCCCCACTTGTCTAGTTTCTGCCCACTCTTCATTTTTACTGTGGAGGGAATTTGCGCGCAAGTTGGGAAGGGAAGGCACGGAGAAGGAGCAGTCAAATGGCAAGGGATTTTCTCACCCGTATCTAAAAGAAACTATTTGAGATTCCTCTGTCTGAAATTTTCATAATGAATCACTATTTGCCGCCCGTGTGTTTACTATTTGTCGCCTATAGTTTTATTGATAGTATATTTTGCTCTTTAGAAACAAAATGACCAGATTTTGCTGCCGCGGTGAAACAAACGAATCGCTGACCTCACCTTCCTTTTTTTTGTTCCGCAAATCCTGGCGATAAATCACCCTCGCCTTCGTCTTTTCCCCCGCAATTCTTGGTGACAATTGGCCTTCCTCTTTTTTCTTCCCGGATGATCCCTCCACCATCTTCATCCGCTTCCTGGGCTCTCAATCTCCTCGTGATTGCTGCGGCGAGGGAATCGCCACGGGAGCAAGACCTCGGAAGGAGATGGGTGGTCCGACTGCGACAATCTAACGGGGATGGTTAGTCATCGTTGGAGTATGGACGAAGATGGGTGGACCGACGCCTTCCATCGGACGCACGGAGACGATTGGTCCAACGATGAAGTTCGGACGGCGTCCGCCCACCTGCATCGGACGGGGTCCGCTCTCTCTCGTCGAAAGGGGTCTGATCTCCACCGTCAGACGCACCTCCGATGACTTTAATGCCAAAATTAAAGCAATTTGTTTTATAGAATTGTGACTAAATATTTATATTGTTTTAAATAATTACAAATATGATAATTATGCATATTAATTAAAGTGAGTTTTAAATAAATATTAAATCTGATAATTATGAAAGCTTTTTTAACTAACAATCTAACATCTCGCCACCAATCTAATTTGTTTTCTTTAATTAAAACACACGACCTTCATTCCACAAACTTCCTTAATTATCCACATCCAAGTAACAACGGAAACTCTTAATTACATAGAAAAAGGAAAGCACTCATTTGTCATAATGAGAAATTTACTAAAATGGGGCCTAATTTCTGCAATATTAAGGGGTGATTAATCTTCTAATTAATTATCAAAGGAATATGTATCTATTTCACTCTTTAAAATTAAATTATGTTAAATTAATCCCCTAATTAATTTTTCCAATATTGGTCCTGAATTTTCGTTGATGAATAGATGATTAAGATTTAATCTCTCTTCCAACCATCTTTTTCATCGCCGGAAGAAGCGGCATGAGTCGCCGACGTTCAACATGGTGGTTTGCCTGTCGGCGTCGGACGGGGTCCGCCCCCTGGCATCGGACGGGGTCCTTGTTAGAGGGTGGTCCTCCCGTAGGCGTTGAACGGGGTCTGCTTGATGGCATCGGATGGGGAACGACGATGTTGGGAAGATGATGAAGGGAGGACGGCGTCGACGTTCTGTGAGTTATTTTGGGGTCGGATCGTAGTTGGTGGGGTATGTGGTCGGCGTGGATTCCCGACGGAGAGAGGGAAGCTAACGCACGTCAGGATTTGATTGTAGTGGGTGACAATTGTGAAGGAGGACAAAAATGTCATTTACATAAAATTTGTGGGCGGCAATTAGTAATTCTACGGGCGGCAAATAACAACCCTCATTTTCATAATGGAACAATGACTAGAGTAATGTTCAAACTAGGGTTCAGCGTCGTTCCGTTCACCAAGCAGGAGAACACGGTCGGTGATCCAGATTCCCGTTGTCATTAACTACGACTTTGCGCTCTTTATTCCAGCCACAGGCGAGGAGTGTCGGGAGTAGGCGTCGATACCGAGGGACTAATCGCCAGAGGAGGCTTCAGGGAAACAAACGATTTCTGGTCGTGTGAACTAGTTTAGTGGTTTTATTTTTTTAAAAATTAATTGATTTGGGACATAAAATAATTAAAATCAAAATTAGATGGGTTTGAGAATAAATGAGGGGCAATTGGGTCATTTACAATTCCTTTAACGACCACGTAACATAAAATTGGATAGAGAAGTAAACTCGTTATCTTTTAATATTATAAAAGTATGTTTGTGCAAAAATTTAGTAGAGGGATACGTTTGTTAATTTATTATAGTAAACGGGTACAAATGCTATTAACCGCCACCTAGCCATATCAATAATCCTTTACTTGTTAAATTTCGGGGGAAAAAATTATAGCGATGATTCCAATCAACAATATAATTTATAGCTGAAAAGTAAAACTGCACCCCCCATTCAAAATTTCCTGCCCATAGAGTGATTTTAGGAAGCTGATGTGGCAGAGTGTTAAGCGGGAAAAAAAGGAGTCCCGCCTGATTTCAGAACCAAAAAACTCTCCACTACCCACTTTTTTCTCCTTCCAAGCCCACGTTCTCATTTAATTTGTATAAAAAACTCTCCACTACCCACTTTTTTCTCCTTCCAGGCCCACGTTCTCATTTAATTTGTATTTTTTATTTCCAATTTCCCTTCCTTCCACTCTTTCACCTCATTCGAATAAGTTTCTTGGCCTTCAGAAAACCAAACCTTGACTCAATCATCTGGTTCTTTTATGTGCTTGCATCTACCTTTGATTTCCGTTCTCTAAGCGTTAGATCGGTATTGGTTTTGCCGTAAGTTATTCTTCCTCTTTCAGATTTCTATTTGTTGTTGTCGCTGCTTTTAAGTTTTAGGGATTCGGGTTCTGGGTTTTTTTTTTCAGGGATTCGGTCGCAAAGATTCATCTCCCTTACCTTTGGTTCATTCCGTTTTCTTTATTCTCTCTTACCTTCCTCGCTTCATTCTGTTGATTGGATTCTCTAGAGATCAAAAGGGGATTTTTGATTTTTCCCTTTCTCTTGAAAGTAACAAAGCTGCTTACTTTAAATTCCACTTCGCTTAGACTGTCTTCCAGAGAGCAGCCGACTGCCGATTTTGAGCTGAGTTTTTCCGGGCCGCAAAGAAAGAAGAGGAAAGAAAGAGACGTTCGGCGGCGGCAGCCAGGTACTTCGTCCGGGTCGTTTTCCGGGTCGTTTTTCCCGCTTAACACTCTGCCACATCAATTTAAATTATGGTTTACATTGTTGTCCTTCTCGCTCTTCCTTTGCATCCCCAAGCTTGGAAGCCATTCTGTTATATGTGTTTTGTTCATCAATTTAAATTATGCCTTATATAGTTATATTTTTCTTCGACTGTTATGTTTGTGTGGTGTGTTGTATGTGTCATTAACTCGCACAAACTTATAATTGGTGATGAGTTCAACTTCTGTTGTAACAATTAATTAATTTATATGAATGGCAGCTGCAAAATTTACTGGAACGGGTGCATCATTTACCACGACCTCTATTTCAGATTGCATCAGGTTATTGGAGAATTTAATATGGATAGTGCAAATGTCATCCCATCTGCCCAACCACAGATTTATCGATCGTCTGTACCATGTGAGTGTCATGGTTTAGCACGCAACTGCTTCAATGCAAACTGACATTAATATTTTCCCTTGAATCTCATTTGTTTAGGGAAACGTCGAGCAGTGTTTATTCATCCTGAAGATCAGTACCAACGCTGTGTTTTATCTGCTGAAGAGGAAGAAGCATTTGAGAGAGGTGTGTTATCTGTGTTTTAATTTTTCTAATTAGTTCATCTATTCAATGAGTAATACATGGTTTTATATTTAAATTCTGCAGAAGAAGCTGCCTTACAATTCCAACTCTCTCAACTTCGGCGAATACTATCCCAAGTCGCCCGTAAGAGAAGACATCATATTTTGAAACAGAATGTTCATAGGAGGGGCTTGCCTTTTGAACACCAAGGTTGTTGTTTGCTAAATTTTGTAGCGAGTCTTACAAATTAGGCTATTCTAGATTGTTGAATCTTTATTTATTTCTTTAATATCGTATGTGTTTTGGTGTTGTTCATAGTTTTGGAGCCGGAGTTTAGATTTCTATTACAAAAGCAAAGTCGATTGAGTAGCTAATTCGTATGCATTTGGTTATCATGTCCTTGAGAATGGTAACATTTTTCGTGACGGAGTAGATGCTGCCCTTTGTTTCTTTTCACAATGACTAGGTTCAGAATACGGAGTCTTTCACAAAACATAATTTTATTATCGAATTAGCACAATTAATTAAATTTTTGTTTACTCATTTGGAACAGTAAAACGTTGTTTGAAGATACATGTTAATAAGATAAGCTGTATCACTTCAATTCTGGTCATCATGTTTTGTAAATTAATAACAGTTCTTATCACTGTAATTTTATTTACTCATGTGTTTGTGGTTTTATTGTTAAATGGATGTTAGGAGGTTATTCGTTTTCTTCCTCACGAGCAACTAAAATGTATCTCAACATCCATTGCCCTCACTTGCATCCTTTGTTAAACCAGTAAGCTTCATAAACCTCTATTTTTGAAACTTTAAATTCTAATGTGTGTGGTATCTGTTGATAGTGGTAATTCTGGTTAATTTATTATCAGGGAAGATGGACCCCAATTTGGATCTAACTATATTGTTGGACCATTGCTATACGAGGAAGCTCTCGACATATCTGAGCACACCACGGTTCCACAGCTTAATATGATAAAGTTAAGTCTGTATAGTACGGTAAGTCACTCAAACTCAACTAAACACCTATTTTTTTAAAACACAGTCATTACCCAATTCAACATTTGCTTCATTTTCGTCATCAATAACCCATGTGTCTGTTTTAGGGGACGATATACATCTTGACGGGAAAACTAAAAGCCATTGGAATTTCAACTTTGGCGCACTCTATGGTCAGTGTTGTGCATTTCACCATCAATGATGTAACTGAGGAGCTGGAAGTTGTGTTTCCCTCTGTCAACCTTAGACGCATTGTTGGTGATGTGGTTGCGGAGACAAATATCGATTGGGACACTAACATCATCGCCATTCTCAACTGCATTGATTTGAAGTATTACCAGTTTGTCATTGAAGTTGGCGCGTGGAACCGCATGGTCCGTCACTGTGATTTGGTTTTGCTGAAGATGTTCTCTGCTGCTTTTTAAGGATGGAATGCTTTTAATGGATTCCTGGTCTGTGTTCCTAAATATCAACTACACTCAAACATTTAATAGGAAGTGGTTGGCTAGGCATTTCTCATCATTCGGCTCTATTTACTACCTCCACCGTACTTTTTTACTGTTATTTGTGATGATAAGATTGTTGGAGCTTAGCCTTTTAGTTTCATGGTTTTGTTTTAAAGCACCCAGTGTGCAAGAGATTAGCTGTAATTGATTTCCTCAACTTTGTTTATAATGGAGAATCACTTATGTATTTGGATTGGTTTGCTGCTGTTTTACAAGATGGTAGTTAAGCAGATAGGGTGTCTGAACTTATGCGCATATGAACCAGGAAATATTGTCCGGTTTGTGTTAAGCACTTGATTATTTTTTTTAGTCCTGGTTATGATCCAATGTGAATTATTTGTATAAGAAACATATTGTTGCAGAATTTAGTTACAATCTAACAAATATCATCAACTTTTAAGTATTACATTCACAAAATGAAAAACAAAATTATTTTTTTATTAATTACATTAATTATGATATCACTTTGCTTATGGGGAATTTAACTATTATCACACTTGATTTGCGAGATTTTCTTCTCATTTACCTACAATAATTATTTTATAAATTAACCTATATAAAAGGATTTAAATTCATTCAGTAGTGACTCGAGATTAATTAATTAGTGATACTTTAAGCATGGTTCAGTTTTGTTTTTTTTTAAGAAACCTGATTTCATTATGAAATCGGAAAATGATAAAGAGTTGGACCATGATCCTTGAAAGATAGAAGTCTAAACAAATCGTAAAGTTGAGCCCACCCAAAACACAAAATGAAAGCTCACCCACAAATACATAAATCAGAAAAAAACACAAGAGAAAAACTCCAAAGCCCACCCCAACACCCACGGTAACCCAACCCAGAAAACACCCAAACACACCAAACACCACAACCCAGCCCACAAAACAACCCAAGCATGGTTCAGTTAAATAAAATATAGTTAGAGAGGGAATGCCCAGCCGGATTTGTTGAAACTAAATGGCCAACCTATTCCCATAAAAAAAAAAGGCCAACCTACACTACCTTGGGCGGATCCTTCTCCACTCCCCCACTCCCCCACCTCCTCTACTGCCCAGTATCCGATTTTTTTGGATCTTCTATGAGGTGAAGGCTGCCGCATTCCAAGCCATTATTTCTTTATTAAATACATTCATTATGATTTTCATTTCATGTTAATTAGTGGTGGTGTGTGCCGGGCCGGCCGGGTTGGCGCATCAAATAATAATTAGCAACTTTGAGAGGCAATTTTGGACAAGAATTGTTGACACAGTCGCAATTAGCAATGTTGTTAAAACGGAACCGGACATCGATCCGGATTAGTACAGGGTTCAAGGTTTATCAAATAACCGGTGGTTAATGGATATTAAAAACCGATCATAAACCGGTGTTGACTTACTTGGTAGACTTAGAATTATTTTTTTTTACAATTATTGTTTCACTTATTAGAGATAAAAGAATAAAGTGAGAATTATTAAAACTGAAAAAGCATAATTTGGGCGGCTGCTAGGTCTTTTTTGGGAAAAGTGAACTGATTTTTCTTCTATTTATATTTTATTCTGTACTTACCTTCTTTTGTTTTTGAATTTTTAATTGCAACAAAATAAAAGGAAGGCGCATGTTTGATTTTAAGAAGGTGGGTCGTTCCCCTCAAAAAAAAAAAAAAAGAAGGTGGGTCGTGAGTTCCGTGACACACCCGCCTCTTGAACTCTAAATGGCCAACCTTCTCCACTCCCCCACGAGGCCACAAATCCTTCTCCACTCCCCCACTATCCCACTTTCCACACACACACGTACTCCACTACATGCGGCCAAGTAAATCACGTGTGTAGAATCACTTTCTCTCCTTTATATAATGGAGATACCACTTTCTCTCATGTTACAATTTCCGTTTACTACTTCCCATACAAAACACTTTGGTTCCATTGATCGTGCGAATTGCATTCAATATGGCGGGCCTGCCTCAATTCAATCAGTAAGTACTGCTCATGCATCCAACAAATACTACATCATGTAATTTCGATTCTTTTTCACTACTTAATGCCAAAACTTACAGTCCAATATATAGGCTTCCCCATGGTTTTATTGCTAATCTGCAATATGATGATGCTCTTGAAATTTGTGAGCGTGCCGACACCATCGATCTCATTATGTTGCAAGTGGATGTCGAAAATCAGGTAACTAAACAAATAAATTTCTTTTTAATCGTACGCCTTTTGTGGCATGTTGCATTTTATCGATTTGCTTTGACAATATTCGTTTCTGTGTTTACATAAGGGCACCTCTTTTTTGTTATCCGGACGTGTAACGAATTTGACGACGTCCTGGTCCCCTGCATCCAGAATCCATTTCGTCCACCTCACAATTGAGGACGAATTCATTGGTGTTGACATCGTCTTCCCGTCATCACAGTTACGAATGATTGTTGAATCTGTATTCAGTCATGCAGATGTTGTCAATGCTGACTATATGGCCCTTCTGAACATGCTTGGAGAACAGACATTTGAAGTCATGGTCACAGTCGGTCCCTGGAACGATGCATTTGGTTATTGTGAACTTGTGTTGGTGAAATTATTTTTGCCTTTGTTGAATTGAGTACCATGTCATGAACAATGAGACAATGTATTGAGTTTTCTTATTTTGGACTTGCATGTTATTTGTCGTAATACTCAACTAGATTAGATTTGTGATTAGTAAAATTTCATGTAAGTATTTTTATTGTGATTAGCTAATCTTCAAATGTATTTCTAACTTATTATGAATGTTCATTCATATTACATGTTCGTCTTCAACGAATTGCAAAATTGCAACAATCTTATGATAATATAAAACAAGACTCATTTCTCGACACTATCATTATAGATATTGTAACTCCATTTCCTTAAACAAATGCGGCCAACGGGCCGGGCTATAGGCTAGTTAGTTTTTAAGGCCCAAAATCCTCCCTGTCGGCTCACGTTGAAAAATAATGAAAAGTTTATATACCTAACTCAACCTAATCATTGTATTCCTGTCATTAAGCGTCCTTATATTAATTACTAGCCGTTATGGCATGGCACTGTTTCTTGCCACAACGACTTCTCCCTCGATCTTGCGGATGTTGAGGTGAGGAGCCAATCCCATGTATGTTAGGCTGGGGTGGATATTGATCGATTCGGTTCATAACTAGATTGAGTTTACATAGAACCGGATAAAAAATAAAGATAAAATGAAAATCAGAATCGGATCAAGAACATGTTTGGTTTATTTGATTTGTTTAGGTATGATCCAAATCCAGTTTCGTCCATTTTTCATAGTTCAAACAATTTATAGGACCATAATCGAATATAAATTAGTGTGCATTTTATCCCTCCAAAATTGGCTCCCATCACAGGAGCAGTTAGTTTGACTACCTCTAAAGGGTTCTGATTTTCGACACTCATCTTAGGAGTCGTTGATGTACATTAGTAGTAATCCAATGGTGAGAAAATGACAGATGATAATTGAACATTAATTACCTATTTTAGTTTTCTCACCCACATTAATTAGGGAAAGTGGGACGGTAATCGAGGACATTAATTGGCCTTTTAGGTTCCCTTAATCCCTTGCCAATTCAAAGTAGTAAGGCTTTTCTCCCCCTCCCCTTCTCTTTCCCAGACGTCTCCTCTTCTCTCCCTAATTTCCCTCTTCCCCTGCTCGCCGCCATCTCCTCTTCCCAGCCACAATCCAGGTTTTCCAGTCGTTGATACACCAATAAGATCCTCTCCCTACGGCACTGCAAAGGTATTGACAGAGAAGACGATGGCCCTCCTCACCTTCCTGGCGAAGACGACGACCCTTGTCCCCTTCCTGCTCAGGCCCTCATTCCCTTCCCGACGAAGAATCTGACGTAGCTCTCTCCCCTTAACTATCTCTCTCCCAAATCCAAATCTCGATTTTTCGTATGGTGTTAGTACTAGTGCAGTTCTCTTCATTACCCATATATATGTCTTTGAGTTTACATATTTGGATTTTTTTCATATGGTATTAGTACCAGTATATTGGTATTGATACCAATGTACTAGTAGTGTATCATTATAGTCAGATGTGAGCATTGGTATTGGTACCGGTGAACCGGTAGTGTATCATTACCCTGCTTTTTCTAGATTTGTGATTTTTTAGTATTCTTTATCAGTCTAGTTTTTCTGTCTCAACCCCACTAAGATATGTTTTTTCTTGTGGTAATGTTACCACTGCAATGGTAATTGTACGAGTGTCTGAGTTTCTGTTGAACGTTATTAGTGGTAAGTTTTTTTATTTATTCTAGTGGTATTTGTACCAGTGAAGTGATATGTCTTACCATTGCAGAGGTACTTTTTTGCAAGTGCTCGGAGGGAGTCAGCAGGCGCAAAGATGTACTGGTAATTCTACCACTGAATTATACCACTATAGTGATAGTTGTCTTACTTATCGAACTCATATTTCTATCACTGCATTGATAGTGATGATTATTGCCTGCATGAATGGATAGGACGAAGAGATCATATTCTTGGGTTCCTAGAGAGAAGAGACATGGAAACTACGTTCCTTGTCATGTAGAAGTTGTCAGGACCATTCCTCGAGTGCGGGTACCAACAAGAAGCGACACCGTGAGAGCCGAGATAATGGACAACAACATAGGGGGAAGACGAAACGTACTGATTATGTTAGGGGCAAGAAGTGTAGCCCCAACGGTATAATTCAAATTCTGTTTTCCGTTGTATTACCCAAGTGACCTAGTCATCCTTCGGCGCCTGATTTATAGTTGTTTAGGCTTCCCAGAAATAATTTCCTAGTGACTTCATTTTTATTTATTACACTGGCTGGATATTAATTATTGTTGGCATTTCCCTTTTTTGAGAACACATTCTGCTCCACGGTTAGTGGTGATACTAATGAAAAGTTGCTGGTTTGTTTACATATCAGATTGGTTGTATATATATATATGGTTTAGTCTAGCGTACGCCTGGGCGTACGTTAGACTACCGTACGTCCGTTTGAGTTTTGCTATTTAGATCATGAATTAACGGGAGTTTTGGGCATGATACTATACCCTAACCACTAATGGATAAACCCCAGTCCCTAGATTTCTAACCCAAATCATGAGATTCGTTTAATCTTGAAATGAAAATCAACAATAATTTCGACAAATCAGAACCGTTGATTTTCATTTCAAAATTAAATGAATATTATGCTTTGGGTTAGTGAATCGCGGACTAGGGTTTACCCATTAGGGGTTAGCGTATAATATCATGCCCCAAACTCCGGTTAATTCATTGTCTAAATAGCAAAACTCAACGGGCGTACGGTAAGCTAGGGTACGTCCGTGCGTACGCTAGCCTTTGCCATATATATATATATATATTTTTAGTGGTACATGTATCTGTTAAGTGGTTCATGTATCAGTGCAATGATATGTATGTCAGTTCAATAATATATATCTATCAGTTCAGTGATACATGTATCAGTTCAGTGATACATGTATCAGTGCAATGGTATATGTATCACTTCACTAGTATCTCTATCAATTCAGTATACATGTACCATTTCAATGGTACCACTCCCAAGTATATCTAACACTGCGATGAGAACATTTATGATGAGTTTCGATTTTTCTAATGGTACAAATACATTATATCTAACACTGCAAGTGAGTGGTCACATTTTGGTGTGGAAAGTATGACTTGAATAATTGCACTGGTACTTGTATCAGGTTCAGTAGTACATTGCCACCCTCCATGTTCTTCTTCATCTCCCACTGGTTCTCTCTCGGCGGCCATCAGTCCATCCTATTGTCGGGTGGAGAGTCTGATCTCGTCTTCACCTCCCTGTCATTCGATGCCATCACAGAAGCCACTGTTCTTAGAATGCCCAGAACCGCCGCACGAAATCTTGGATCTGGCTTCCATCCCGGCTTGGCCTTCGTTGGCTCGATATCTCGCGATATCCCCTGTCTCTCGTCCACCGGCGAGCAACCCACCAGGTGGGTTGGAGGCGATCCCACTGCGGCGATGCCCGATGGTTGGTTTCAGCTCCCCCAGTTGATTGATTTCTTTTTTACTTTACTTTCTTTATCGAGATTGGGTTGGAAGGACATCATACCAAAATCGTACAATTAGGACCTCGATATGGTTTTATTCTGTTCATCGTATCGGAGGTTATGTTCTTTTTTGCTTTTTTTTGGGCTTCTTTTCATTCTTCTTTGGCACCTACGGTTGAGATCAGAGGTATTTGGCCCCGAAAGACGGGTTTAACCGAAGCAGTAGGAATTGGTGTAGCCAGTCCCACCCATCCTAGAAGGATGAAGCCGATCACGACATGCAATTGACCAAACGAAAGCCATCTTTCTCAATCCAGGCCTATCCTGGACTCGACTGTTCACTCGTATCGGCATTTTGGACACACGAGTATCATATTGATGGAATACGATTCACTGCAGAGGAGCGGGATGGGTTGCTATTTTTTCGGGAGAGAATATGGGAGCTGAAAAGACACTTTCCTCATCCAGCTATATTGTCTCTTCCCAATTCATAATTATTATCACAGTTATGGCTTTCCAGTTTACAAGATTACAAAAAATAAAATAAAAAACAACTTCCACTAATACAACTTGTCAAATGATTGAATGAAAAAGTGACCAATCAAGAAGAAGGTATAAAAAACAGACCCTTTTGAGCAGTGTTATTAAAGCCGAGCCGAGCCGCTCGGCCCGACCGGTAAAACCGCCACCCGGTCACAAAACCGGCTCGGAACAGTCTAAAAGCCGCACCGATTTTATGTAACGGTTGGCGAGCGGCCGAGGCGGTTAATTGATCGAGCCGATCGAGCCGCTCGTCCGGTTTTTGCCATTCAGCCACTAAATTTAATTAAAAAAATTATAGAAAATAGAAAATTGAAAATTGAAATAAACCAAAAACGTCGGGCTCTCAAATTGAATTCTTATTTCCATTTCACAATTTCGAAGGAAAGAGATGAGCTCTGATTAAGAAATGTCCACTATTTATACTGATAACGTTTATTAGATACCGGTTCTCTAACGGTTTTTAAACGGTCTAATGCTGGTTGGACCGCTAAAGTGCGAGCCGTTGGCATTACCGAGTCATGCTCCGGTTCGGTTCTGACAACATTGCTTTTGAGAGTAGGCATAGTATCCGACCCCTCCCGTCACTGCTGCTATAGACACCAACAACCAAAAGCAGAATTATTATACTTAAGGGGTCGTTTGGAAGTTGCGATTGTTTGAGACTGATAATTAATTATATTCAATCCAACACAACCCATTCCCTTACTCTTTGAGACTGAAAGTGATCATTTCGTTTATTCTCTGCATATGATTGTTTTTTATTAGTGTGTAACTAATATTATTGTCCATTGCCTAATTGCCACTTTATTCCAACTAGTGTATGTAACATTCTAAAGGTTAGCTATAAATGTGGGTAGAAGTGGGAATGTTGATCGGTGGTGGAAGCAATACTCCTGTAAGTGCATCTCCAAGTTCTGTTAGCGCAAGTGCAAATCTATTTCTGATCAGAGCAAACTTATCATAAAGATGAAATGCAATGAATCGTTATTGTCCAGAACGTAATGAATATGAGGATGTGATAAAGCACGAAGGATGATATGGTGCATATGAAAGAAACTTATTAAGGCGGATATTATGATTAGAGAGTATTGCCAACACGTGGTTGTTGTTCATTCAACATAAAACTAACGACTACTTCTTCATACGCTGCCGTTTCCTCCTTTCCTCTGTTTCTGTTTCCTTGCATGAGCAGCAGCTCCAGCTTCTTCTTCTTCTCTGTTGCTGCTGGTCTCATCTGTTACTACCCCCACAAGTTGGAGAGTGCATATCAATCACTCCCAACTTGTCTAACAAGAACTTCAATCTATATCTTGTCATTCCTTTTGTAAACATATCTGCCAATTGATCTTCAGTTCGAACATGATTCAATTTAATCATACCTGATTTCAGCCTTTCTCTCGTGATGTGACAATCTATTTCAATGTGTTTAGTCCTCTCATGGAAGACTGGATTCTCAGCAATGTGCATTGCTAATCGATTGTCACAATAAACCTGAATAGATAGTTCCACTTTGACATCCATCTCTGCTAACAGGTTTCTTAACCACTGCAATTCACAAACCAAATGAACCAGTGCCCTATATTCTGCTTCTGACGATGACCTGGAAACTGTTGTCTGTTTCTTTGATTTCCAGGTTATCAAGTTCTCCCCCAGCAGTGTACAATACCCTGTAACAGATCTTCTCGTGTCTGGACAACTTGCCCAGTCAGAATCTGAAAAACCAGATAGCTTCAAGTCTGAATCTGCCTTGAACAACAACCCTTGCCCTGGAGCATGTTTCAAGTACCTCAAAACTCTATAGGCAGCTGATAAATGCTCATTGTATGGATTTTTTTGAACTGACACAACTGTTGTACAGAGAATGTAAGGTCAGGTCTAGTTATAGTCAGATAATGTAGCCTACCTACAAGTCTCTTGTACACTTCTGGATTTTCCAAAGGTTCCCCCTGTTTAGCAGTCAACTTCATCTTGTAATCAACAGGTGCCAAGCAGTCTTTAGCTTCCAAGTAACCTGTGTCTGCTAATAATTCCATACAGTATTTCCTTTGATTAACTTGAATGCCCTTGTGGTCTCTATAAATCTCTAGTCCAAGGAAATATTTTAGCACACCAAGATCTTTGATCTTAAATTCCCTTCCAAGAAACAGTTGCAACTGCTCTATATCTCCCAATGAGCTTCCTGCAATGAGAATGCCATCTACATATACCAGAACAACAAGAATTCTTCCTTGTATTCTCTTCACAAACATAGAGTAATCTGAGGCTGCTTGTGAAAATCCATTTTTGAGCAGTGAGCCTGCTAGCTTGGCAAACCATTGCCTGCTGGCTTGTTTCAAACCATACAAGGACTTTTTCAGTCTCAAAACCATCCTCTTATCTGGTAGTTCCATGCCTGGAGGTGGCCTCATGTATACTTCTTCATGCAGATCTCCATGGAGAAATGCATTTGATACATCCATTTGATGTATAAGCCAGTCATTGGCAGCTGCCACTGCTAAAAGTGCCTTGACTGAGTTAATCTTTGCCACTGGGGAAAATGTGTTTAAAAAGTCTATGCTATAAATCTGGGTGAATCCCTTAGCAACAACTCTGGCCTTGTGCCTTTCAATATTTCCATAAGCCCTTAACTTAATTTTATATACCCATTTACTTCCAATTGCTCTCTTGCCTAGAGGTAGGAAGGCTGGTTCCCAAGTTTGATTTGCTTCAAGAGCATTCTGCTCATCTTTCATAGCTTCTCTCCAGCACAACTCAAGACAAGCCTCTGCATAGCTTTTAGGTTCCAGTGCTGCCATGACACTCAACACATATGTCCTGTGTGCAGGTGGTAAGTTATCATATGACACATAATTCTCCATGGCATACCTTTGAACATAACCTACCTTATAATCCTTATGCCAAACAGGTACAGTTTTGACCCTATCTGACTTTCTCAATACATTGTTCAACTTCTCCTTCATCAACATCTGCTTGCTCTATCAATTCATCTGGCTCCCCCCCAGGATGTGGATCAGAGACCTCAAAATTCTCATGAATCTGCTCAAGCAGTGTGATAGGACAAGGAAAAGAAGTGGAAGTTGGTGTGGAAGAAGAAGGAGATGATGAGGAAGGTGAGATAGTGGAGGGAAATGAATCCACATACTGAGTAGGATAAGATGGTGAGGAAGGAAAGGTTGAGGTGGGGGAATTAAAGATAGGAACATTAGATTGTGGAAGAGAAGAAGAAGGATTAGTTGGGGAGCTGGAAGAAGGAAAGTAGAATGGTAGGATATGTTCATAGAAGATGACATGCCGAGAAACAAAGAATTGATGGCTATTGAGATCAAAAAGCTTGTAGCCTTTGATCCCAGAGGGAAAGCCAAGGAAAACACACTGCATTGCTCGAGGGGTAAACTTAGTTCTGTCTCTAAGTAAGGTGGATGTATAACACAGACAACCAAATACTTTCAATTGAGACAGGTCAGGTGCTTGTTTGTAGAGAATTTCATAGGGAGAAAGGTTGTCTGTAACAGGTGAGGGCAACCTGTTAATTAAGTGAACTGCCTGCAAGATGCAGTCACTCCAAAAATGCAGTGGTAAACCTGATTGAAACATCAATGCCCTAGCAACATTAAGTATGTGATGGTGCTTCCTCTCCACCCTTGCATTCTGTTCTGGATTTTCTACACAAGAAGTTTGACGTTCTATACCATGAGAGGCATAGAAATCCAACACATGGAACTCATTGCCTTGGTCACTTCGAATGACCTTAATAGCTTTGTCAAACTGTTTGTGTATCATAGTACAGAATGATCTTAGAAGATCACCTGTTTCAGACTTATGCTTCATCAAAAAGGTCCAAACACTCCTAGAGTGATCATCCACCAAGGTAAGAAAATAAGAGTAGCCATCATGTGATTTAACAGCAAGGGGTCCCCAAATGTCTACATGGACTAAATCAAACACATGAACAACTCTACTGTCACTAATTGGAAAGGGAAGTTTCCTTTGTTTGGCAAAATGACAAGTTTGACAATGTTTGACAACTATCTTATTACATCCAATGGCCTGTTTGCCTCTATCATTACTGGGATGGCCTAATCTCCAATGTCAGAGATCAAATTGGTGAGGCTCAAAGTTGTAGGTGGCTGCTACTTGGTGAGATGAAGTGGTTGGTGGAGGACTTGATGTGGGAATGAGATGGTAGAGGCCTCTAACTTGTCTTGCTAAACCAATCTGGGTCTTGGTGGTTAGGTCCTGAATATGACAAGAGTCAGATTCAAAGTTCAAAGAAAGTGGGTGGTCATGAGTGAGCTTGCTCACTGAAATGAGATTAAAGGTAAAGCTAGGACCAAGTAACACACTGTTTAAACACAGTCCTGTAGGTGTCTTGACTCTTCCTATATGGCTAAATTGGATCTTGTTACCATTTGGCAAGTATACACACTGATCAGTCACAGGACTAGCATCCAAAATGGAAGACAAAGAACATGCAATATGGTCTGAAGCCCCAGTGTCTAGTATCCAGACTTGAGCTAAAGCCATTAAGCCATGCTGCAAGTAAGAGGAAAGAACATATTTACCAGCAAAGTTGGGAAATGGAGGTAATTGCTGGGAAACCGAATAAGCAGCATGTTTGATGGAAGGTGAGAGTGGTGGAGAAGGACTCATGCTATCAGATTGCTGGAGAAGAACCTTGAGCTTATTCAGCTCATCAGGAGTGAAGTTGATAGAGCCTGGTGAAGAGGTTTTACTCTCAAAGCTGAGACTGTGAGTGGAAGAACTGGAGTCACCACTTTGAGAGTCAGATTTCCAATCTGGTTGAAACACAGAATTAGCAAAGGAACCCCCTCCAGCCATTCTCTGCATTTTGTTCTTTAACCTGTAGCATTCTTCCTTAAGATGACCTTCCTTCTTGCAATATCTGCAAACTTTCTTTTCTTTGTCTGGTTCTCCTCTAGTGTTTTTGGAATTTTCATTGCTGGAACCTCCTGCCCCACGTGTTGTATCAGTATTTGCAGCAAGTGCAACAGATTGTATCCCTCTAGTACTGGTTCCTT